CCAATTAGGTAAATAAAAAGAGCATGGGATAACTTATTTTTAGTAAATATCCATTGGATTACATAATTGTATAAGAAGATAAACTGCAAAATATTGGGACACATATTTACTATTATATTTACCTAAAAGTTCTACATATAAGAAAAAATTTCATTGAGAAAATTGCTTTGTAAATGTTCTCATATTAAATTTTGTGTTTACTTTGTCACACACATCCCGACTAAGAAATATTAATAATAAGCTCTGCAAAATCCTGAATGAGAAAACTGTTTACACAAGTGATTATAAAATGAAATTACTGTACATCCATTTAAAATTTGTGATAATTAAAATTATTTTAAGCTTCAACAGCATTCTTTGTTATTTATTGATAAATTTAATGTTAAAATTTCTTGTGATTATGTGATTTTTTTAAAAATCAATTTTCAATGTCATTTTCCAAGCAATGCTATTTCTTTGATTTCTAGAATACACAAGCACTTTTAGAAAAATCACATCGTAGGTAATTTAAATGTTATCAAAGTGGAAAAAGTCACACACAGAAAGAATATTCTGGCCAATTCAGTCCCCCATTTCACATTGTTTTACACCCTATACTCTCTGAGTTTTTAGAAAATATGTTTCTCTGTCACCTTCCTGTCTCTCTTGTTCACATACATAATACAATTAATTTCTGAGAAAAATGCACAGGTTGTTGTGTACTTCTTCAGATATCCTTAGCTCATTGGGAAAGATCAGAAATTTCAAGATTTTTCTTATCATCAATGCTGCCTATGAGGCCATAGGCTCCCATTATCACATTCTGCTCTGCTTTGTCACTCCTTGAAGATCCTTGGATGGGCTTCTCACTGCAACAATATTTATTCTATGTCTAATCTCATTACCTGTGGGCCATCAGACTCAATATCTTGTGGCATACTTGTATTCAATTGGCAGTATAAATGTGGTCCAGTTATTAGATAAATAACTATGATTTATAAGTATTGCATTTTTTTATATCAAGATCATAAAACATCTCATATTAGCACAAAAATTCTACATACCAGTATACTTAAGAACACAAATTCTTATATATCATACATAATATTAACACATCTGACTGTGTAATATTAAAAAATAATAAATCAAAACTAAAGAGAATTTATCCTAGAAATTAAAAGATAATTCAGTTTTAGGAAATTAACTACTATGATTCACTGAAGTAAGATATTAATAGAAAAAAAACACATGATATAATTAGACATAAAAAATAAATCAATAAAATTGAAGTCTTTCTTCATAAATTTTTTAGCAACTTAAGTAAATATTGGAAACTTCTGGGAACCTAGAATGAATATCATGTACATTATTAAACTTTAGAATACTTCAACATGCAATAACTAAGCTGAAAAACTATAAAAAACAAGTGAAACTGGAAAGCTCTTTAAGGAATGATAATTTCAAACCAATGATTGTCCCTTTTTCAAAGAGGCATTTTCCAGTTGGGCACATTTAGAAGTGTTAACTCCAGATTGACAGTAGTAAGGGCAATTTTTAGTAGACAAACAGCAGAATTATTATCATTTTCTTGAAATGTGGGGTTTGGAAAATGGAGTTGTGAAGGGCTACAACATACAACCATTATCTCCCTAAATTGGAACCCTTGTGCTTTCATTGTTGGCGGCACTGTGGCAAGGAATATGGTACTTCCAAAAAAAAAAATTGAAAATAGAATTATCATATGCTCCAGAAATTCTTCTGGGTATATACCCAGAAGGACTGAAATGAAAACAGGGACTTGAACAGGTATTTGTATACCAATGTTCATAGCAATATTATTTACAACAGCTAGAAGGTAGAGGCAAATTAAACATCCATTGACAAATGATGGATGAAAAATATGTGACATACACATAAAATTACATATTTTTCAGCTTAAAAATAATACAATTTTGCTATATTATATAACATGGATGAACTTCTAAAATATCATTCTAAGTGAAATAAGCTAGACACAAGGAAAAATATTGTATAACACCAATTATATGAGGTATCTAGAGTAGTCAATTCATAGAAACCTCAAGTAGAATAGTGGTTACCAGGGGCTGGGGGAAGGGGATAATGGGGAATTTATTTTTAAAAAACAGGCAAAACATTAGGACACTTCAACATAGAAGATATGCATATTTAAAATAAGAGTAATAAAAGATGCTTAGCATCATATGTCATTAGAGACCTGCAAATGAAAACAACATTGAATTACTACTAAACAATAGAGACCTGCAAATTAAAACATTAGAGACCTGCAAATTAAAACAACATTGAATTGCCACTAAACAATAATTAGAATGCTTAAAACACCAATTGCTGAAAACACCAAATGCTGGTGAGGATGCCAAGCAACAAGAACTTTCATTCATTGTTGGCGAGAATGAAAAGTGGCACACCCACTTCGAAAGACAATTGAATAATTTTCTTCAAAACTAAACAAACATGCTGCTATTATATCACTCAATAGTTATGTTCTTTGGTATTTACCCAACTGATTTAAAAACTTAAGTCCACACCAAAACCTGTAAATGAATGTTTATAGCAACATTATTCACAATTGCCCAGAACCGAAAATAAAGAAACCCACATTGTCCTTTAATAGATGAATGATCAAACACACTGTAATACATCTGTACAGTGGAATATTATTCAATGATAAAAGCAAATAAACCATAAAGCCATGAAAAGACATGGAGGACTCTTAACAAATATTACTAAGAGACAGTAAAAAGATCATGGGCTTCTAGGAGTTTATGGAAAGGGATGAAGAGCTAAATATGTGGATCGCGGGGCATTCTTAGGACAGTGAAACTATTGTGTATGATACTGTAATAATGGAAACATATTTTTAAGACCCATATACTTTTTAAGACCCGTATATTTTTAGGACTCACAGAACACACAAAAAGAGTTAAATGCGATGTAAACTATAGACTGTAATTAATAATAATGTATAAATAGTAGCACAGGAATCATAGTGCAACACTCTAACAAAAGATGTACTATAATAGCGCCAACGGGGAGGGAGAGGGAAAAGAGAAATGGTAGTTCACTGTACTTGATGCTTGTTTTTATGTAAACCAAACATTGATCTGAAAAATGTCTGCTAATATTTTAAAAGCAACTATAGAAAATATATCATGAAGAAGCACCATCAAAATAGCATAACCTTGATACAAAATCAGAAACATTAAGTACAAGATATAAAACAATCAAATTCATGAGATAGAAACATTAATATCAAATAAAATACTCAAAAATGGAAAAAAGGCAGATCATGGTTGGTTTTATTCTGGAAATCAAAGTTGGTTTACTATTTTAACAATCAATAAACATATTTGTACATTAACAGATTAAAAAGGAAAATCATAAAGTCAATAAATGCTCAGAAAAGTCTTTGATAAAATTTAACATTTATCCATAATAGAAAACACTTGGACTAGAAATAAAAGTATTATTTGAAATTGAAAATTGTCATTAAAAATATTCTATAAATATCATAGTAAAGTGTGAAGTCTTGAAATTTTTCTTTCATAATAAGGACAAGGCAAGAATATCCACAACTTATATGGCAACTTGCATAAAAGTCTAAATTTAATATTCTGTTATTTTCTTAACTTCTTGATATTGATGCTTAGATTACTAGTTTTCAGACTAATAAATTATAAATGTCTATGGCAACCAATGAAAGTATATCATTAATAAAAAGAGAACAACACTATTATAATTAACAACATTTCATGAATAATGGCATTTCACCTACATGCTAATAAAATTGATCTAGAGTGATAAATGATAATGCTGTCTATTGAGATGTCGTTAGAGTCTATGCAAATTTGCCTAGATTCAGTAAGATTTCTATTAACTTATAATTATGTTTGTAAGTAGTTTTTCTTTTTAAACATTTTAACTACAAAATATAACACATTTATATATAAATTAAAATAAATACGGAAGCTATACCTTATGTATTTCCTTTATGAATGTAATATTTCATAGTAAGAGGTTTTATCAAAAAAATCTAAAAAGTAGACGTAAAACAATGACTGAATGTAAATAATAATATATTAAGAAAACAATTGTGTGCCCAATGAAACATGGTAGCAAAAATTGACAATGTATAATTTTGTGTTGAGATATTATAAAAAAAAAATAAGGCTGAAGAACTAAAATATAACAGAGGTAGTAAAAAATTCAAGCCAAAATTATAATCACAGAAAGGAAAAAAAAACACAAAACATTAAAATGTGACTATTTTCTTTGTCAACAACTGATAGCAAATTACTGATAATGTAGTAGCATTTTATATTCTCTGAATCCAAATAATTTAGAAATTATAGAATTAAATATTGATACATTCTGGTGAATTTGAGGTTACTCTTATAATTTGACTATAGCATGTACTGATATTATTTTAGGAAAATAATTTTTTAAAACTCTAACATTATAAATTTTAATAAATGGAAATGCAATATGAAAGTAACAAATTTAAATTACCAGATTAAAATAGACAAATCAGAAAAAATAAAAAAGCTTTTTTCATGAAGTTGCATTTTCTATTGGAAATCTCTCCACGAGAACAATAAAAATATTCCCTGACATATCAACACGTTTTTAAATATACTTTGTAAAATACTGTATACTCATATACCTTAATTAGTAAACGTATGTGGGAGAAAAACAGTATGCTCATAATATAAGTAAAAATGCATTTATTTGTGTTTAAGGAAAAAAGTTTTTATTTAAACATATTACTAATTAAGTTGTGAGTGCTTATAGTTCAATATATATCTGATGCAATTCACTTAATATGTTACATAGTGTTGAAACTAGGTAAGTTATTTTTCTTTGTATTAGTATATTTGATCTAGGCAAGTTAAAATAACTTAGACTCTCAATCCTTATAAATAGATGTTTATTTTGAATTACCTACAACAATAACATGCAATTCAGATACAAAAGTGACTTACCCCTTTCCCTTTGCATTTTGTAGTGGCATTACAGTTATATCCCATTAAAAGAGCTTTTCTGCAGGTTTTATTTACACAGTACTAAAACAAAACAAAAATTTTACAATTCACAAATGTCATATAAACAAGAAAAAAAATTAATAATTTGATATATATGCATAAATGATGCTTAAGTTGAAAGACTTTTTAGTAATATTAATATGGTTATTAATATGATTAAGATAATAATAATCATATTAATATTTATGTTAATATACAAAGCAAAACAATAAAGTAATTGCAAGCAAAAACTCTGAAGGTGTTTACCTTGACATGGTTTCTGTAAGGATTACATGTAGTTTTGGTTTTTGATATTTATAGCTGCAACTGGATTGAGACACTCATCAGATGAGTTTTCTATATTATGCTAATATTTTGATATAAATAATTGATTACATGTTAATAATTTGTCCTCTCAAAAATTGGAACAGTGTTAATTTTGTGTAGGTTTTAAATATAATTCATAAATTATCATGAATCTTTGTCATAATATTCATCAGAATAATGTGGCAAGAAAAACATTTAACTTTATTTTTATTTCTTGTAAAACTTTTATTATGTCAAAATGGGTAATACAGTCATGAATAATCACCTGGATATGTGGTGTTTTGCATCATTTATGTTTTTCTACTTTTTTCTGATTTGTAAGCTTCTTTTTTATTTCAAAATGTCACCATGAAATCTGTTTAAGTCATTCACAATATAACAATACTAAACATGAATAAAAATTACCTTTTATTTCCTCAAATCTGCATGAAACCAATTTATAAATTATACATTGCATATGTCAACCCACTTTTGTCCCTCATATTGAGCAAATATCAGATGTTCTAGCCAGAGCAATTCAGCAAAATATAAAAAGATATCCAAATTGTAAGAGAAAAGAAAAAATACAATAAAAAACTTAGAAATAAAATTAACAAAGGAGAAGCATTGTACAATTAAAAACTCCAAATCATTGCTTAAAAATTAAAAGAAACGATTTTTAGCGTCCATGTATGAATAGGAATATATGGTATTTATTTCTCTGTGCTTGGTTTATTTCAGTTAACCCAATGGTCTCGAGGTTCATCCATGTTCTGCAAATAGCATGAATTCATTTGTTTATTGCTAAATAATGATTCTGTTGTGTGTATGTACCACATTTTTTTAAATCCTTTCATCCATTAATGAGGGTTGATTCCATAGTTGGGTTATTGTGAATAGTGTGGCAATAAACATGAGTGTAACTATCTCTTCAACATATTTGTTTCCTTTTCTTTGAATAAACATCCAGTAGTAGGATTACTGGATCACATGGTAGCTCTATTTTCAGTTTTGGAAGAAACATCATATTATTTTCCATAATAGCGGTACTAATTTGGATGCTCACAAACAGCATGTAAGAGTTACCCTTTCTCTGCATTCTTGCTAACATGAGTTACTTTTTGTATTTTAAAAGTTTGAGGTGTTGAGCTTGCTAATTAGCCAGGTATGATCATTATACATTGTATACATGAACTGAATTACATTAATTGACATACAATTAATTGATATATACAAATGGTACATATTTATAAGAAAACAGTCTGATTAAAAATTGGGCAAAGTATATAAATAGAAATTTATCAAAAAAATAGATGTTAGAAAAAATACTCAAAATCACTAATCAATCATTAGAAAAATGCAAATTAAAACCACAGTGAGATATCACCTCATACCTGTAAGCATAGCTATTAACAAAAAAACTAAAGATAATAAGAGTTGGAGAAGATGTGGAGAAAAGGGAACTGATATGATTTGGCTCTGTGTCCCCACCCAAATTTCATGTTGAATTGTAATACCCAGTGTTGGAGAAGGGACCTGATGGGAGGTGATTGAGTCATGGGGGCATATTAACCCCTTGCTATTCTTGTGATAGTGTGACAGTGAGCTCTCATGAGATCTGGTTGTTTGAATGTGTGTAGCACTTCCCCTTTCTTTCAGCTCTCTCTTCTCTTCTCTCCTCCCACCTCCATCTCTGTTTCTTCAGCCATGCGGAGATGTGCTTACTTCCCCTTTGGTTTTCACCATGATTGTAAGTTTCCTGAGGCTTCCCTAGCCAGGCCTTCTGTACATGCTGTGGAACTGTGAGTCAATTAAACCTCTTTTCTTCATAAATTACCCAGTCTCAGTTAGTTCTTTATACCAATGTGAGAATAGACTAATACAGAATATTGGTACCAGAGAAATGAGGCATTACTATAAAGCTACCTGAAAATGTGAAAGCAACTTTGGAACTAGGTAATGGGCAGAGGTTGGAAGGAAGCATTCAGCATGGGAGAAAGATGAAGGCCATAAGACTCAGCAAGCCAGCTTATCCTACCTTCTTCCTTCTGCTTTGTTCTAGTCAGGCTGTCACCCACATTGAGGGTAGATCTTCCGCTCCCAGTCCACTGACTCAAATGTTAATCTCGTCAGGCAACACCCTCAAAGACACACACTCAGAAACAATACCTTACTACAATCTAGGCATTTTTTGATCCAATTAGGATGACACCTAATATTAACCAATACAGGAACACTTGTACTCTGTTGGTGAGAATATAAATTCATATAGCCACTATAGGAAGCAGTACATATGCTTCTCAAAATCTGAAAATAGAAATACCATATGATCCACCAATTCTACTACTGAGTAAACAGACAAAGGAATAGGATTCCAAAGAGATGTCCACACTCTCCTCTTCAATGTAAAATTTTTCACAATGGCTAATTCATGGAAGCAATCTAATCTAAATGTCCATCAATAAATGAATGGATAAAGAAAATGTGGTATATACATCCAATGGAATATTATTTAGCCTTAAAAAAGAAATTCCTGCCACTTGCAACAACATGGATGAACCTGGAGAACAATAGGCTAAACAAAACAAGCCAAGCACAGAAAAACAAATGCTACATGATACTGCCTATATGATAAATCTTAAATAATAAAACTTACAGAAGCAGAGAGTGGAATGGTAGTTACTAGGGACTGAGGGGAGGGAGAAATCGGGAGGTATTAATCAAAAGTTAAAACATTTTGGTTATCTGAGATAGGTAATTCCTAGAGATTGACTGTATGTCACAGTTTATATAGTTAACAATAACGTATTATACACTTAAACAATTCCTAGGGGGTAGGCCATATGTTAAATGCTTCTATGAGAAAGGTAACAATAATAAGTAGGTAAATAAATAAAAGATTGGGAAAACTTTTTGGAAGTTATAAATAGCTTACAATATGGAAGTAGTGATCATTTGTATAATTATCTCTAAACTCATCAACTTATTGTTTATTTATTTATTTATTTTGAAACAGGGTCTTGCCCTTTTGATGAGACTGGAGTGCAGTGGTGTGAAAGCCTCAATCTTCTGAGCTCAAGAGATCCTCTTGCTTCAGCCTCCCAAGTAGCTTGGATTACAAGTATGTGCCACCACAACTGGCTAATTTTTAAAAATATTATTATTTATTTTAGAGACAAGGTCTTGCTATGTTTCCCAGGCAGGTTTTGAGCTCCTGAGCTCAAGTGATCCTCCCATCTTGTTGTTTCAAAGTGGTTTTTGTATGTCAAATAAAATTAAATATACAATTCAACCAAAAAAAATAAGTAAAACAAAGTACAGAGTAGAAGAAAATATTTGCCATCTTGCATTTAGGATATTTAAAGAACAATAAAATTGAACTTTAAAAAAGACAATCTGATTAAAAATAGGCTAAAGATATGATCAGATACTTTACACAGGAGGATACGCTGATGACATATAAGTTCATTATATGAATAAAGGAAAAATGTTGAATAAAGTTAACCATTAAAGAATGCAAATATCACTATGCACATACAAAAATTAGTAAATAATAAGTAGTGATAATACCATGCTGGTGAGGAGGTGGAAAATGTGCTCACTCACACACTGCTGGTGGAAATGAAAAATGGCATAGCCACTCAACCAAAGATTATATCAGTTTCTCATAGAACCAAAAACATACTTATCTTGCAAATCAGAAATTGCACTCTTAGAAGTTTATCTTAGGAAAAAGAAACAATACACACATTATCTCAGTTTCATTGCTCAATTCTGCCAGCAATGAATTCTGGGAATGGTATAGCTTGGTCTTTTGCTTCAGATATTTGCATAGTCTGGTCCTAAAACCCCAACCAATTTCATCTGAAGGTTTTACTAAAATGAATACACTTTCCAATTTGTCACGTGGTTATCATTTTCTCAAGGTCTTTTGGATGGAGGCCATATTCAGTTTCTTCCCATGTATTTCTCTTCAACATGGCAGCTTGTTTCATCCAAGTAAGCAATAAAGAAGGGCAGGAGAACAAAATGGAAAATACTGCCTGTTATAACCTAATGTTGCAAGTTTTATTCCACCATTTTTTTCCATACTCTGTTAGAAGCAATTCACTATGTCCATCCTTCACATGGTTGGTAGGGAATGAGTATTATAAAGGGACTGAAGAGAAGAAGATAAAATATTGGAGAGTATTTTAAAAGCTGAGTAGCACGGTTCATCTTCTAATGTTATGTATATTTTACACACAAAAACCACATTAATTGTCAAGCTCTGTAACACTCTCATTTCATTATAGCATCAGTTCAAAGCCTATTTCTTCATCTGAGTTAACTCCAGCTATGGATTAAGTTCATGGGTATACTTCCTTGAGTATAGCTCCATTTATAGATCTTTGACACTAGAGAGTAATCTGTTCCTAACCCCATCAATATATAATGGTAATAAAGGCATAGAATAACTATAGATATTTTAATTCAAAGTGTGTGTGTGTGTGTTTGTGTGTTGGCAGAGGGTAGGGGGCAGGATTGGCACTAAAGAGGAATTACTGGTCCTTAGCAATTCTGAAATATCTTGGGAGTTCCTTGATTGGGTTTCAAGGTCTGTGAATAATCTCTTCCGGCTCTCAGTTCTGCCTTCTCAGTTCTTATTTGACTCTCTAAGTATTCCTTCCTTTTTCAGGACAGGTAGCATGTGTTTGCCTCTGAGCAACTGTCTCAGCCTGCCTCCTCTCAGTAGAATTTTGGGGGTTCTATAGTCTCTTTTCATTTTGTGTTCTCTTTATGGGCAGTTTCTCAAAAACTGTGGGCCTCCCATGAATCTCTTTGGGATTTGTTACATTAAACAAAAGCCATGCTCAAAAATATTTTTGAAATGAACCATTTTCTATCCTGGGCTTCTGCTGAGATGGCTGAAGGACAAAGCTCTGAAGTTTCTAGATGCCCTGTTTTTTTAAATGTGAGGCACAACCTTTCTTTCTTTGAAGGACTTTTGTATAACTAAGTAACACTGAGTCTTTTACTGTAGAGCATTAGTTAAGAGTTGATCTTGACTAATCTATTGGAACTCTTAACTAATTAATGTTTTACAGTCTCACTCTTGTCTGGAGAGGCTAAGAATTTAAATCATCAATGGTTATGTTTTATTTAACAGTTCTCTGAAGTTCTTTCATTTCATATTATATTATAAGCTGCTAGAAGGAATCAGAAGCTAGATCACCAAGTTTATTACGTACACATTCTACTTTCCACATACTGTAGAAGACAATATGCTAAGCTCTCTGCCACTAAATGGAAAGAACCTTACTTCCTCCATTTTTCAGTAATTTACTCCTATCTACCACTTGAGCCCTTAACAGGCAGGCCCTCAAAGTTCAGAGTTGTACTTAAGGTCTGTCCCAGGCAATGTGAGCTTTCTGTATCTTGGTCTTCAACATTCTTCTGGTCTCTACCCACTTCCTGGTTCTATACTCATTCCCACTTTTTAAGGTATTTGTTATAGCAGCACCATATTTCCAGGTGTCAAATCTGCATCAGCTATCTATTGCTGCATAACAAATTATCATCAAAATCAATGACCTTAAACAACACATATTTATTATATCATAGTTTCTGTCAGTCTGAAATTCAAGCACATCTTATCTCGGTTCTCTGCTTCACAGTCTGTTACAAGGTGAAATCAAGCTGTTATTAGTTATCGGGGACTGTTGTCGCTTGTGTTAGTCTGATTTGCAAAGCTCCTCTTTATAGCTTGCTCAAGTGGTTTTTGGCAGAATTCAGTCCCTCACAGGCTACTGAACTGAGGGCCTCAGATTTTCACTGTCCCACAATTGCTTTCCTTGTGGTATTTTCCATGATGGCAGCTTGTGCCAGCAAAGTAAGCAATTTGAGAAGGCAAGGGAGAGAGTCCATGCAAAACAGAAGTCACTGTCTTTTCTCACCTTCTTTCTTGTCTCTAGCCTCTAATCTTGTAAGTGACATTCCAAAGCGTTTGCCCTGTTTTATTTGTTACAAGCAAGTCATTAGATGCAGCCCACAGGCAAAGGAAAGGGATTACACAGGGGAATGAATGACAGAAACTTGGATCACTGAGTTGTTTCAGGAGCAGACCACCACACAGAAGTTTTTCAAGGAATTAGGGTTGCTAACCCGAGATATAACAATTGACTAACTCATCCTCCATTTCTAGGTTTTGTTTTATGTTTATGCCATGTTTTCTGGAACATGTGCCTTTATATTGCAAGATTAACCAAGTCCCAAAGCCTTTTTGTCCTCTTTTTATATTATGACTCTATAGCTATAAGTGTTCATATATATTCATGCATGTATTCACACATGAGCTTGTATACTCACTATAGCAGTGTTTCCTAGTATAGATTTTTGTTTGGTTCTTCCAAACCTTTCACATACTTATATTTTGATCAGATACAAAGCAAATAATTTAAGAAATACGTAAATTCAATTAATGATCTTTATGAAGCAAGGAACAATGAAAAATTTGTATTAACATTTTATAATTTAAAGCTACCAGATGTCACTTAATAAAATCTTGTGTTTAAAACACATATGTACTTTTTTACATAAGGACTGATAATATCTTAATCCAAAAGCAATGTAATTGGATAACTTAGGATTGTTTTAATTATCATTTAAATATCACATGGGAAATAAATGCCAGCACAAGGTTTAAATCCATTCAACATAATTATGATAGTCATTATGGAATGCAGCATCTGATAATTAACATAATTTAACACAGCTGAATATAAATTATCACATTTTGTTACCATTTCTGGTCCACACATGGTGCCATCAGCCACATAGGCATTGTCTGTTCCATCTGATCTCACGGAGGTCCCAGTGGCTATAGATACACATACATGGTCTTGAATGTATGAATAAACTGTGGCTTGAACGTCACTTTTATAAGTATTTTTATGTGGCTGAACACAAGCTAATTTTCCACAGAGAACATCGCTGGATATGAAAAACAAAAAATTCCTTATCAGTTTATCTCTTAATGATAACAAGTTCCAAGCAGATAATGCATAGATGGTAACATAAATACTGTTAATTGATAGTATAACACCTGAAAAACACCAAACTAAAACATTATTCTATGGTGTACTACAACTAAATACAACTGTCTGAATAGCAAAATTGAAATGTATGTGCTTAACTCAGATGTGAAAACATGACTTCATTTCCTATTATAGAGACCAATTTTGTTCTCTAGGTTCCCCTTGTCTTAGAGTATTCATATCTTACCACATTCTGGGAGAATTAATCACTTGCCCTGCTTTGATATAGCTTGGCCATCCTGGTCACTTATTACACAAAATTTGCTGAGAGCGGTTAATTGCATTTCTTTTTCTGCACAATAAATTGTGCCTATCATTCCTGTCAGATCTCTAGACAGTACATTTCGGCAGTATACACACTTATCATTTTGATCCACAATTTCTCCCAACATACAGATATTTCCAGTATATTTAAGCTTATCTGTTAAAAATTTAAGAACTTTTACATCCCCTCCATGCCACAAACATACCAAAGGTTATATCTTATCCCACAGACACTTTATTTTGCCATTTGTAATCTATCATTGGGTAAAATACTAGCTTCTCTATGAGGCTAACAGTATTTCTAGACTTTGCTCTGAAAGATAATCTATGTCATTTTTTGTACTTGAAATTATTAAAGTTTAATTATCAAATACCATCCTCAATGAAAATAATCATTTTTAGCCATTGATATGTGTCTATTGAACATGTCATTATTATTTCATCAAAAGTCTCCTCCTAGAGAATTTTACCCATTTGTCCTAAAAGACCATTTGAGGTTTTTTCAGTGTCAGAAGAATAAGCTTAATTACATCAAGAAGTAAAGATTAAAATGAGATTAAGAGCCGAAACCTAAATTGCATTCCACTCTTGTCCCTCCTCCAGCATAACTTTTCTACTTTACCAGGTCTTGATATTTCTTTTGATTTGGGCTCTGCTCTCTTTCTATAAATGTATTCTAAACTAAACTTGCATAGTATGTACATATACTTCTAGTCTGGCTACCGAGTACAGATTCTTCCCCCCAGTCCATTTTCCAAAAATTTGCATTTATGGTTAAATGTTTAGAACTATTTTTTCTTTTCTGAAAAGGAATCACAGTCTGTTTAGATCAGATGATGTATGCTATTCAATTATAGTTTAATCTAATGATTTTATTTCAGGAAAATCCATGTACTATTATCAAATAAGACAAAGTCCAAAGGAGTCATGTTTGCTAACTTTCACAATTTCTTCCAAGTTTCTTTATCTTTTTGTCATGAATAATCAGAAAGGCAGCAGATGTGCCTCTGAACATCAGGGAGAGAGATTAATATGGCTGCCATGTCACTGTCTTCTGTCTTTGTTAGGACCAATGTGGCATAACTCAGACTGCTGACCCCTGGTGCCCTGTATTAATATCCAACAGGTGTGGCTGATTATGCAGGGTCTCCTCCTGAGATCCCCACCCATCAGTACTTTCTTTGTGATTCCATCTTTCTTCTTTCCATGTACTAATCCTTCTGTGTTGGGGCAAGCGGGAAGCTCTGTATCCTCTCCACAGCATATATAACCCATGATAATTTCATGTATGGAGAAGGGTGATGGAGGATACTACTTTAGTCCCACCCTACTGCATACCTTCTTCATCCATTTCTCATCTTCATAAAGGAGCCATATTGTTTTGAACAATACTGAGTGTGGTGCTTACCTAAGGATTTTATGTTTTTCCTTGGTTATGTCTTCGAGACTAAAAGAAATCTCTGCTTTTCCTTGAATTAATTGTATCTAATATTTTAATGTTACTCCCATTCTCTAATTTTTTGAATCTGGCTCTGTTATAAATGTTTATGATTATTTAATTTTCAATGAAATTAAGGAAGATAACATTAAGGAAACATTCGTTACGGGGTAGGCTCTTCTTTGATTAGATTATTGGATTTCATGAATCCCTTTATTACATGGATTATAGTAACATTATATCCCAATTGTCCGAATTTAGCTATTAATATATAATTCCATGCTTTAAATATTGCTGTTTTGGACACAATCAACAAAAGCATAAAAAACTTTCTTCTTCTCAACAATCCTATGTCTTAAAAATCAAAGCCTGAGATTTGCTTTAAGATTGTTGCTATTTATAGGCTTAATACAAAACCTCATTTGAAGTCTCAATATAGAGTAGCAGTTCTGATTTCTGGCAGTGTATGACCATTTTCTTTCTCTGTTACTAAGTATTAGCCTTTATTGTCCAATCTCATTTTTAGGATAATATTAAAAAAAATAGAAAATCCTGAATTGTATAGAAAAAATATATGCATTGGTATTTGAAAATATTGTTATGTTATAAAATTTAATGTTCATTACTCCTTAGTGTCTCTTGATAAAAATACATAATTTTTATGATCCAAAGAAACAATCATTTTCTACATACGTACTTCTGTTCACAAGGCAATGGTTGTGAATTTTTAAAACCACAGTTTTCAGATCTTTCATTCAGAGAATTAACTTCTTTAAAACAGGCAAGTGGAGCACCTTGAGCACCTTAAAATGCAAATGTGACAGTTGAGTTATCATTCTTAATCTAAATTAAATGTTTATCAGTAACAGACTAAGGAAACTCTAATTTCGAAAAGATCATGCACTTGGAGGAACTGTTAACATGTATATTTGCCAAGGTGTTATGGGGATTTTCTTCTAAGGCCCTTGCTACCACTTAAGTCAATGAGTTTTGGTTCTGAAAATTGGTTTAGATTCAGAATGTGGACATAAAATTGAGATATTTACTGAGACAACTCTCCACAATCTCCTGGTCATCTATTTTTATACATTTCCTTTAATGGAACAAATTGAGTAGTACCCTCATTGACTTCTCATAGAATACAGAAAAATTGTGTTGTATAAACTCTCTCCCTAACACTTGGTAGGGAAGGTAGCCATGTCTACTACTGTATGTCTACTGCTTATTACAATAACACTATTCATCTGGCTTCTGGTAGTTAAGCACTGCTATCTGCTCTTGATTTTTGAAGATATTATCACATCCATTGCTACCAGTGAGTGTACTACTATAGTGGCATCCCTGCTGTGGCCTATAGAGGAGGCCAACTTTGGGAAATTTATGGTAAATATGGTATCCCTTTCTCTAGCACATTCCGTATGTCCTTGGGCTTTTCTGTTTGGCCTAGTCATTTGGCCTTACATACACAGTACACAGATTACAGTATTACCACTTCCCTGAGCCCTTTCCTTTTTTTCTCCACTATCTGCTATGGCAATTCTGTCATTTAAACTTCACTTAGGGTGAGTCATCATGTTTTTTCCAGGCTACTGGAAGCCATCCTAGTAGAAAGATTTTACAATCTTCTAGTATCCATGCCAGTATGTTAAATGCTGTTCTTTGGGAGAGTGTTTCCAAAACAGTAAATACTCCCCTATCCCATCTTGTGTTCCTTCATTCAATCTCATGATCAAGCACTCTCAGAATTCAGTCCCGTGTTTACTTCACTGATTCTGTCAGTAAATACTGGCTGGGACCAAATCTTTTTTTGGGCTATAGTTTCTTTAGTGCTTTATAAAGTCCATCACATCCCTGTCTCTATTATCTGTGTCTTTTCTCTATTTTCAGCTAGTGGCCATGAAGGGTAGTGGGAAGATACTGATGAAAATATACTTCATGTTATGAAGAAGACAAAGGAAAAATCAGAACTAGACCATTCTATAGGTTCAATAGACCCAAAGAAGCCTAGAGGCTTAAAATTAGGATGGTCCTGTTTTCATTTGTCTCTGTCCCAAGTGTAGGTCCCATTCTTCACCCATATAGAACCCTAATCCTGAAAAATATGCCTCATTAGGAATTCAAACTTCGATAGGGTTCAGCTTTTCAATTAAGCCCTCCTTATCTCTCTCTAACCTCTTTTTTAAAAGATGAGGGTATTTCAGTGTGGTTTTGATTTGGATTTCTCTAATAAGCAATGATGATGAGCATTTTTCATATGTTTCTTGGCCACATAAATGTCTTCCTTTGAAAAGTGTCTGTTCATATCCTTCACCCACTTTTGATGGGGGTGTTTTTTTCTTGTAAATTTTTTAAAGTTCTTTGTAGATTCTGGATATTAGCCCTTTGTCAGATGGGTGGATTGCAAAAATTTTTACCCCTTCTGTTGGTTGCCAGTTCACTCTAATGATAGTTTCTTTTGCTGTGCAGAAGCTGTTAAGTTTAATTAAATCTCATTTGTCTATTTTGGCTTTTGTTGCCATTGCTTTTGGTGTTTTAGTCATGAAGTCCTTGCCTATGCCTATGTCCTGAATGGTATTGCCTAGGTTTTCTTCTAGGGTTTGTATGGTGTTAGGTCTTATATTTCAATCTTTAATTCATCTGGAGTTAACTTTTGTATAAGGTGTAAGGAAGGGGTCCAGTTTCAGCTTTCTGCATATGGCTAAGCAGTTTTCCCAACACCATTTATTAAACAGGGAATCCTTTCCCCATTGCTTGTTTTTGTCAATTTTGACAAAGATCAGATGGCTGTAGGTGTGTGGTGTTAATTCTGAGCCCTCTGTTCTCTTCCATTGGCCTATATCTCTGTTTTGGTACCAGTATCATTTGATTACTGTAGCCTTGTGGTATAATTTCAAGACAGGTAGCTTGATGCCTCCAGCTTTGTTCTTTTGCTTCGGATTGTCTTGCCTGTGCGGGCTCTTTTTTGGTTCCCTATGAAGTTTAAGGTAGTTTTTTCCAGTTCTGTGAAGAACGTCAATGGTAGCTTGATGGGGTTAGGAGTGAATCTATAAATTACTTTGGGCAGTATGGCCATTTTCATGATATTGATTCTTCCTAACCATGAGCATGTAATGTTTTTGATCTGTTTTTGTCCTCTCTTATTTCCTTGAGCAGTGGTTTGTAGTTCTCCAAACCTTAATTTTCTTTTAGCATTTTTTATTTTTTTTAATGCAAGAAACATAGCTATAGGTTTTATATTTCTTTTCTTTTACTGTGTTTTTCTCTTGGTTGTAAGCTTCATGAGTACAATAATCATGTGACAATGTCCATCTGGTTGAATATTGTAGGCTATTTGCATATAGACACTCAGTGTAAAATTTTGAATGAGCAAATCTACTTATATTTCAACATTTCTTTAAAAGTTAAAATTTACTTAATAAAAGAACACAAAATTAATGTAACTACTTGTTAGTTAACATGTCCTATATAATATACTGCCTTAAGCGGTCGACTTTTGCCCTATGGTTTTTGGTAACAAAAGAAAAATGCCTGTAAGTAAAAAGCTAAGTAAATGAATCAAAGAGAAAATGGGAGATGAATGAATTAACGAATGAACAAAACAATGCATCAGAAGATGACATTTTTGATGCATTCATGTTAGTTTTGTGGAGATCCCAGAACATGTAGAAAGAAATACACAACATTTTCCTAAACATCCTCTTGCAATCAGAACTCAAAAAGATATCATGTGTCAAGTAAACCAATTCTAGGTTGAAGGCTTTTTTAATTGAAGAATAAAAGAATATAGACTCTCCTTAATGAACCTTACAGAAATTATTATTTAATTTTACTTTTAAGAGATATTTTAAACCCTGTTAAAATAACAAGTAATATTATTCAAATAGAAATAAGTATTTAAAAAACAAAACACACATAAAAAGTAGCATTCTAGAAACATAGCACACAGAAAATAGTACTGACTTGTGATTTAAGAAATCATAGTTCTGCAGCTTTTGTTGAATTTTGGTTGAAGTTTATTACTCAAATAATTAGGAAGACAAGATGATCATATACCATGTCATTTGGTATAAATTATATTCCTGAGCTTACCACTGGGCAAACAATTGAACTTTGGTATACCGCCTTTACTCAACTAGAAAATAATTGTATTTATATGCATTTCTCTGGGTAATTTTGATGTGTTTATATTTAATTCCTCTAAAAATGCAAAATTATATTTGGATATTATGAATAATTGCTCACTAGAAAAGCAAGTATATATACACAAGTCTTATTAGAATTACTCTCAAAGCTGATTGAAAAACAAAATATAAAAATGAATTTTGATCAGTTGGCTTGGGACCACCATTATCTTAGCAGTTATTCCTCAATTAGGAAATACAATTTTTTAAATGAAATTCACTCTGAGCCTTGTAAGCTTCATGCCATTAAAATTAGATAATGAATGTGGGGAGTAATGGGAAATTATGTAAATTTTATAATCTACTGATTAACTATTTTAATCTTTACATAGATGATCAGCTGTAGACATGGATTTTGGCCCAGTTGGCTAAACTTCAAAAACAAAAATCAAACTAAAATAAAAATAATGTGTGGTATTATTCTTGGAAAATCTCAGAAACTCTTAAAAAACTAGCCTTCTTTAAATAAAATTTAATTTTTATTAATCTTGTGGTTCAGGTTCTTCTGCTTCTAGAGTTGTGTGGTATATAATGTACTCTACAGAGAGATGCTACTTTAAGGTAAAAGAAATATGAAAGAAAGAGCAATACCTTTTCCAAATATCTTGGCACACTGGTTATCAGTAGTTTGACATTGTCCATTATAACAATACGCAGTTCCCAACTTGCACAAATGGCCATTCAATGCGTAAGTGTCAGGAACACAATTACTAGAGGTTCCATTGCAGTACTCTGTAAAATCACACTCTGGATCAATACTCTTTCTACATGGAGTGCCTGCCATTGACAACTGGGAGAAAAATAAAAAATAAAATTGTGTTCTGTAAATCACTTTTCTCAATTGCTTAGTGAAAAGATTTATCACGTAAAATGTTTTTAATTATTGACATTTGAGGGAACATCAGAGTTCCCAAGTTCATGAGTTTGCCAAAAATAAATAAATAAATAAAATTATATACAGTATTCATTGTGAAGCTCAGAGAAAACTATTTCAAAGACACATAAGAATTCCTTTTGAGAGTGAATTTGCAGCTGCTCACCACCTTTGTGCTCTACATTTTGAGACAAGCTGACTCAGACAGCATTAGAAAAAACTAAACAGAGTAAACATACCTGTTCCTTGCATCTATAGGAACACTGTCTCTACCTTTTTGTTCTTGGAGAGACTCAGGAGTCAAACTTCCTTGTTTCAGTCCTTGTCTCTGACTTTTACTATCTTATTTGTATGAGTGAGAAACACAGACTTTCTGTTTTACTTTTGTAAACTTAGATTAAAAAAACAAATTCTCATAGAGTTGACCTAATGGAAGAAGTTCTTAGAACAATACATAGTAAACAGTGTATTTTTGCTCAGGCTAGAGTGAAGCGGCATGATCTTTGTTCACTGCAACTTCCATCCCAGAGCTCAAGCAATTCTCCTGCCTCAGCCTCCCAAGTAGCTGAGATTATAGGTGCTTGCTGCCACGCCTGGCTAATTTTTGTACTTTTAGTAGAGGTGGGATTTCATCCTGTTGGCCAGGCTGGTCTCGAATTCCTGACCTCAGGTGATCCACTCATCTCAGCTTCCCAAAGTGCTGGGATTATAGGTGTGAGCCACCATGCCCAACCTTGAGCCACCATGCCTGGCCTCATTTTTATATATTTATTATTCTCTGAGAGAGTAAAGGCCTCCTTGCATCACTCAGATGAGGCGTATAGTTATTGTCAAAATTTTGCAGTGGCCTGACCTAATCAGTTGCCATCCATAGTGAAGTTCACCATGTTGAAATGTTGCCCTGCTATATATGTTGATAACACACATGTGCAAACACACACGTACACACACACGCACCAATCCAGTTTAATGGAATTAATACTTGATATGGTTTGGCTGTGTCCCCACCCAAATCTAATCTTGACTTGCAATTCCCATAGTTCCCACATGTGGTGGGACGGGCCAGTAGGAGATAAGTGAATCATGGGTGCAGGTCTTTCCGATGCTATTCTCATGGTAGTGAATAGGTCTCACAAGATCTGATGGTTTCATAAAAAAAAGTTTCCCCAGACAACCTCTCTTCTCTTGTCTGCCGCCATATGAGACACGCCTTTCACCTTCTGCTATGATTGTGAGGCCTTCCCAGACTCGAGGAATTGTGAGTCCATTAAACCTCTTTCTTTTGTAAATTGCCCAGTCTCAGGTATGCCTTTATCAGCAGCATGAAAATGGACTAATACAATGCTTAATAATGAAACAAAGAAGCATAATAAATAAATGAAGTGGCAACTTAAAAGTGATGAAATTTAAATAACTTATGTAACTTAAAATTCCATACCTTGTAAATATATATCTCAAAAACAAATGAAATATAAAGACTTTCCTGGACAAAAAATAACCGAGGAACCAGGCACCGTGGCTAATATCTGTTACCCCAGCACTTTGGGAGGCCTAAGTGCATAGATTCCTTGAGCTCAGGAGTTCAAGAACAGCCTGGGAAACATGGTGAAATATCCCATCTCTACCAAAAAAAAAAAAAATACAAAAATTAGGCAGGCATGGTGATTTGTGCCTGTAGTCTTAGCTACTCAGGAGGCTAAGGTGGGAGGATGGCTTGAGTCCAGGAGGTAGAGCTTGCAGCTAGCAGAGATAGTGCCACTGCACTCCAGACTGGGCAGCAGAGCCAGACCCTGTCTCAAACAAACAAAAAATAACTGAGATAATTTATTTTCAGAGGACATACATTTCAAGAAATAGTAAAGGTAGGTCTTCAGGTACAAGAAATATGATAATAAACAGAAATCTGCAAAAGGAAATAGATCTCTGAAATGGAACAAATGACGTTAATTAATTTAAATTCTTTTTTCTTATTTACTCTAAAAGATTAGACTATATACAGCAAAAATAGTAACAATGTATTTTGCTTTTATAGTATATGTTCATGTTCTGTTAGAATTGTTCACTACACATGAAATGAGATATGAAATTAGCCTGATTAATAATTTATAAAGCAGTGGCTAATCAGTAATTTATAATCAATAATTTGTATGTATTAATGATTTAAATAATTTTTAAAAGGTATAAATAACAAGTAGCAAAGATAAAATAAAACATATTTTTATAGTTTTAGAGTTTACATTTAGTTTACAAAGCAACTATAAGTCTCATACGTGTCTGGTGGGAATTCAAGATAATATAGTTGTTTGAAAGGTCATTTTTCAATTTCCCATAAAGTTCCATATTTACTATATGATCCAGCAACCCCACTCCTAGGTATCGAGCTAAGTGAAATAAAACACGATGTTTGTACACAAATATGCTTATGAATATTATTTATGTTAGCCATAAGTGGAAAACAGCCAAAACAGCTCTCAACTGGAAAATGGATTAAGGTACTGTGCAATATCCTTACAATACTTGCAATACTATTAATATACAGCCACTATAAAGGAACGACCAACTAATAAACTTAAGAACATGAATGAATCTCAAATACATTATGCTAAGATGCCTAATTCACATTTGTACATACTGTATGATTCAATTTATGTGATAGTTTTGCAAAAGCAAAATTACAGCTTCAGAAAACAGATCAGTGCTTACCAGCGGCTGCAGGTGGAGTCATGAATTGAGTAGAAAGAGGCACAGGGAAATTTGGGAGGGGAGTGATGACATTGCCTACCCGTAATTGTGATGCTAGTTGTAAGCTTAAATATGTTTCTTCTGACACTTGGGAATATTCGCTAACAGAATTTTAGTATATTATGTTATACACTAATAGCTGAATTCAACAAAAAGAATACATAGCATTTTTACATAAAGGTGATTTACTAGAATTGGAATAATACAATATCTTGCATTAAGGAACTTGTTTTCTTATCCACATGTGTGTCTTGGACACAATATTATATTACTGCATGAATATTTAGCCCATATTTATTAACACTTGTACAATACATAATAATTTATGTAACCATTCCAATATCAAAAAATACTGTTTGTTTCAATCATGTGTGTATGATTTGCATTTCAGTTATCAATAAGTGTGAGTTATTTACACATTCTATATGCTGCACATTTTGTCTGCTATTAATGCTACAGTTTTTCCAAAATCATGCATGATTTATTTGAAACTATAATTTATCTAATAGTTAATAACCTTTTGGATATAGCAATGCGTCCTTTTTCTTCCCTTTATCTGATAATTTAGAAGATGGTAAACTTTTTGAGTTTAACACTAAAGAATGGAGTCATCACTCAGAATCCATGGGCATTTTGTTCCAAGAACTTACAGATATTACATTCATGTCCTTTATATAAAATACAATCAAGTCCTTTATATAAAATCTTCTAATATTTGGCTATAATTTACGTACATCTTCTCATATATTTTTATTATCTCTATACTACTTATGTTATCTAATATAATATAAATGCTGTTAATATTTATACTATATTGTTTAGGGAATAAGACAAAAATAAAAACAAACTGTAACATATCTTTACAATATTTGCACTACTATTCAGCAACTAAAAAAGGAATGATTTGCTATTATACACCACAACATGAATGAATCTCAAATGCATCTTGCTAACGTGCCTAATTCATGTTTGCACATATAGAGTGATTCAATATATAGAACCCATGCAGATAGTAACTGTAACTGTAAGGGTACCTGTCTGAGACGACTTTTATATTTTATAGCAATTTTCCTTTAAACATGTGTATGTTCATGTACTCTATATTTTATTTCACTAAATTTCTTATATATTCTTTTTATTCATTGTGCATTGATTCAGTTAATACAGACTTCTCTTACCACAGTTCAATTTCCTTTTAATAAATATTGATAACTTACCTCACACTTTGATGTGCAACATGGTCCAGAACCACATTTTACTGAGCCCTTCAGTTTACATGTATTATAATCACAGCACTTCTTAAACTGGCATTCCTAAAATTTTACAGGAAGAAATATTACTATAGGTCAACCACTTAAGAACTCTTGTTTCTTAATCTCAATTTCAATTTAGTATTCTGTTGTGTTCAAGCTTGTAATTATACAATATAATTGTATAATTCCAATGAAGGTTTACTACTTTACCATTTCTTTTCTTTTTTCTTTTCTTCGTTTCTTCCTTTTTTTTTTTTTTTTTTTTTTTTNACTCTGTTCCCCAGGCTGCAATGCAGTGGTGTGATCATGGCCCACTGCAGCCTCAACCTCTGAGACCCAGGTGATCTTCCCACCTCATCCTCCTAAGTAGCTGGGACCAGAGGTGCAAGCAATCATACCCAGATTTTTTTTTTCTTCTTGTAGAAACCAGGTGTCACTATCTTGCCCAGGCTGGTCTCAAACTCCTTAGTTCAAGCAATCATCCTGTCTCAGCCTCACAAAGTGCTAGGGTTATAGGAGATATCCACCATGCCAGACCCTATTTTACTATTTCAAGAATAGCCACAGGTACATGCAAGTGCAAGAACTACAGAAATATAATCTAAACTATCAGTTGTTCAGCAATATCTATTAGATAAAACATTTGATAATTAACTCATAAGTTACCAACACCAAAATATATCCTTGGGGGAATAAAAAGGTGGTTTTTAGGATAAACAAATGTTTCTCAATAGTTTCATGGGTGATTTGTTTACTAAGGATTCCAATTGTAAATAAAGTTAGATTCTATGCACATAAACCAGCAAATCTAGAAGAAATTGATAAATTCCTGGATACTTACACCCTCCCAAAATTAAACCAGGAAGAAGTTGAATCTCTGAGTAGACCAATAACAAGGTCTGAAGTTGAGGCAGCAATTAATAGCCTACCAACCAAAAAAAGTCCATGTCCAGATGGGTTCACAGCTGATTCTATCAGATTTACAAAGAGGAGCTGGTACCATTCCTTCCAAAACTATTCCAAACAATACAAAAAGAGGGAATTCTCCCTAACTCATTTTATGAGACCAACATTATCCTGATACCAAAACCTGGCAGAGACACAACTAAAAAGAAAACTTCAGGCCAATATCCATAATGAACATTGCTACAAAAATTTTCAATAAAATACTGGCAAACTGAATCCAACAGCACATCAAAAAGTTTATCCAACACGATTAAGTCAGCTTCATCCTGGGAATGCAAGGCTGGTCCAACATACACAAATCTATAAATGTAATCTATCACATAAACAGAACCAAAGACAAAAACCACACGATTATTTCAATAGATGCTGAGAAGGCCTTCAACAAAATTCAACAGCCCTTTATGCTAAAAACTCTTAATAAACTAGATATCAATGGAACATATCTCAAAATAATTAAAGGTATTTACCACAAACCCACAGCCAGTATCATACTGAATGGGCAAAAACTGGAAGCATTCCCTTTGAAAACTGGCACAAGATAAGTGTGCCCTCTCCCACCATGCAACATAGTATTTGAAGTTCTAGCCAGAGCAATTAGGCAAGAAAAAGAAAAAGAAAAGGCATTTAATTAGGAAAGGAGGAAGTCAAATTTTCTCTATTTGCAGATGACATAATTGTATATTTAAAAGACCCCATGGTCTCAGCCCAAAATCTTCTTAAGCTGATAAACAACTTCAGCAAAGTCTCAAGATTCAAAATCAATGTGCAAGAATCACAAGTATTCCTATACACCAATAACAGAAAAACAGCCAAATCATGAGTGAACTCCCATTCACAATTGCTACAAAGAGAATAAAATACCTAGGAATACAAACGTGAAGTATCTCTTCAATGAGGACTACAAACCACTGCTCAAGGAAATAAGAGAGGACAAAAACAGAATGAAAACATTCCATGCTAATGGTTAGGAAGAATCAATATCATGAAAATGGCCATACTTCCCAAAGTAATTTATAGATTCAATGCTATCACCATCAAGCTAGCATTGACCTTCTTCACAGAACTGGAAAAAAACACCTTAAACTTCATATGGAACCAAAAAAGAGCCTGCATAGCCAAGCCAATTCTAAGCAAAAGAACAAAGCTGGAGGCATCATACTACCTGACATCAAACTATACTACAAGGTTACAGTAATATGGAACAGAACAGAGGCCTTGGAAATAATGCCACACATCTACAACTATCTTATCTTTGTCAAAACTGACAAAAACAAACAATGAGGAAAGGATTCCCTGTTTAATAAATGGTGTTAGGAAAACTGGCTAGCCATGTGCAGAAAGATGAAACTGGACCCCTTCATTTACCTTGTACAAAAATTAACTCCAGATGGATTAAAGATAGAAACATAAGACCTAACACCATACAAACCCTAGAAGTAAACCTAGGCAGTACCATTCAGGACATAGGTATAGGCAAGGACTTCATAAGTAAAACACTAAAAGCAATAGCAACAAAAGCCAAAATAGACAAATGAGATTTAATTAAACTTTAGAGCTTCTGCACAGCAAAAGAAGCAATCATTAGAGTCTACCAGCAACCAACAGAATTGGGAAAAACTTTTGCAAGCTACCCATCTGACAAAGGGCTAACATCCAGAATCTACAAAGAACTAAAGCAGATTTACAAGAAAAAAACAAATAACTCCATCAAAAAGTGGGCAAAGGATATGAACAGACACTTTTCAAAAGAAGACATTTATGCAGCCAACAAACATAAGAAAAAAAAGTTCATCATCACTGATCATTAAAGAAATGCAAATCAAAACCACATTGAGATACCATCTCATGCCAGTTAGAATGGTGATCATTAAAAAATCAGGAGACGGGCCAGGCATGATGGCTCATGCCTATAATCCCAGCACTTTGGGAGGCTGAGGTGGGTGGATCATGAGGTCAAGAGCTGGAGACCATCCTGGTCAACATGGTGAAACCCCGTCTCTACTAAAAAAAATACAAAAAATTAGCTGGGCATGGTGGCACATGCCTGTAGTCCCACCTACTTGGGAGAATGAGGCAGGAGAATTGCTTGAATCCAGGAGGTGGAGGTTGCGGTGAGCTGAGATCACACCATTGCACTCCAGCCTGGGTAACAAGAGCAAAACTCTGTCTCAGAAAAAAAAAAAAAATCAGGAGACAAGAGATGCTGGAGACGATGTGGAGAAATAGGAACACCTTTACACTATCGGTGTGAGTGTCAATTAGTACAACCATTGTGGGAGACTATGCAGCCATAAAAAACGATGAGTTCATGCACTTTGCAGGGACATGGATGAACCTGGAAACCATCATTCTCAACAAACTGACACAAGAACAGAAAACCAAACACCATGTGTTCTCACTCATAGGTGGCTCTTGGACAATGAGAACACATGGGCACAAGGAGGGGAGCATCGCACACTGGGGCTGTGGGGGGTGGGGGGGTAGTGGAAGGATAGTGGGGGGTGGGGAGGTTGGGAAGAGATAACATTTTGAGAAATGCATAGCAGGAGTGATCGCTTTCCCTCTTCCCATTAGATAATAGAAACAGATTTTATATGATATCCAGTTGTCTTTTCTTTTTTCTTTATGTTTACAATGTCTTTGCCATCTATAATAGGTCTGTTAAAAGTGCCTATCAATTTGAGTAATTTGTAATATTTTTGTTTCTTTAGGACTATTGAGTTTTATGTATTGATTATCAAGACCTTCTCCATGCCAAGAGTCTAAAACAATATCAGTACTTTTTTTCTTATATTTTTTTGCTAATTTTAAGGCTGACAGTCTTACTTTTTGTAAAATGTATTCCTCTCTATGCTGTGGAACACTTGTTCAAATATAACCCATCATAATATATTCAAACACGGGTACAAATAAGGTACATGCATCCACACATGTATGGGTGAGTGGATACACAAAACAGAGCTTTCATTTGTGTAAAATGTTGGATATTTATGAAAATACACGTGTCAATGCCCTTTCAACAAAGAATACCTAGAACATATCTGTAGTGTTAAAAATTAGGCTTAGTGCTTGATGCAGCAAAGCACACACACCACCAGGCACCGTGGAATACTTCAGTAGGATGGTTATAATAATAAGATCTGGGGTATTCTGAATATACTGAAGAGTCATTCCTTACCCACTGATACAAATGACATATTACTATCAAGATAATTACAGTATCTTTCATTTATTCAATCAACAAGTATTTATTGAGCATGTGATATTTGCCAGGCAGTATTCTGTGTATAGTTGATACAATAATGATCAAAATATGGACTATCTCTTTCATTGTTCTTATTGTTTATTCTTTTGCCAATACCATATCTCATTAATCACAGCATTTTTTACGTGGTTCTTATTCCAAATTATTAAAGGGTATTTGGTTAGTTTTTATTTCCCTATGAAATTTAGAACCTGCTTTTGTAGAAAAATAGTTCAATTTAGGGAGGTATTTATGGAGACCTAATAGAGATTTAATTGCATGTAGTTTGACATTAAGCATTCCCTTTTCAAAAAAGAAAAGCTTCTTTATTTTTATTTTTTAATTGTACTTTAATTTCTGGGGTACATGTGCAGATCATGAAGGATTGCTGCATAGGTACATACATGGCGAGGTGGTTTGCTTGCCTTCATCCCCTCAATCACTTATATCTGGTATTTCTCCCCACATTATCCCTCCCCATCTTCCCCACACCCACTGTCCCTCCCTTAGCTCCCCCAACTGACCACAGTGTGTGATATTCCCTTCCCTGTCGACATGTGTTCTCATTGTTCAACACACGCCTATGGAACATGTGGTGTTTGATTTTCTGTTCTTGTGTCAGTTTGCTGAGAATGATGATTTCCAAACTCATCCATGTCCCTATGAAGGACACAAACTCATCAATTTTTATGGCTGCATAGTATTCCATGGTGTATATGGGCCACATTTTCTTTGTCCAGTCTATTGTTGATGGATGTTTGGATTGGTTCCAAGTATTCACTATTGTAAACAGCACCTCGATGAATATAAAGGTGCATGTGTCTTTATAATAGAACGATTTATAATTGTT